AAAACACAAAATACGCCCACCCTCCCCAACACAACAAACAAATAAACCCTCTGGAAAGCAACAATTCTATCTTCTTGGCACCTGTCAACCAATATTGTTCAACATTGAGCTGGATGGACTATCTTAATGAATAAGAGGGTAGTTCAACCTCCCTTTGAATTCAGTCATTAACCTCTGCTTGGAAAGGAAAGTAAAAATGCGCATTGTAGTTGCATTTTTGTGACAGTGACAGCTATCCACTGAGATTTATTAATGAGGAAGCTGGAAGCTGGGAAAAATGATTAAACTGAAGTGTCCATGAAAGATCTTTCAACTAACTGGACCGCCATTTCAGTTACCAAAAAAGCTCCCACTCCCTCCAAAATGTAATACTTTAAAATTAATACAAATAGCTTTTCAGCCATTGAGACCCCAGAAGTAGCTGAAGATTTTCCAGAGATTGATCTCCACTTAGCCCACTTGGTCCGGTGTACACAGAAAAGTTATGTTGGCTTTAAGTACATCACTCTGGGTTGTGAGAAATTTCAAGCCCTGACGTAATTAAGCAAGCTAGCAGTGTCTCTACTGAGGATGTAAAATGCCCGTTTAAACCGTTAGCAAATTAACAGATTAAACGGGATTCCATGGGCGGAGAGCTGCTTGCCGGCTATCCATTCATATTCCTAGCCTCTTGGGGTGAAAAGATTCTGTTGCTGTAGTAAGTGTATACACTGCAGCATAGCTACTATAGCCATTCTAGTGTAGACATACCCTTAGTAGAATTAACTATAGAATAAAGTTATGTCTATCCTTAAAATGCTACAGCAGCACAGCTGTAGCTGTGTCACTATAACTCTTTACTGTGGACACAGGTTATAGTGATGGGATGAGAAGGGTTCTGTCACTGTAGTTAATCCACCTCCCCAAGAGGAGGTACAGTAAACTTCCGATAATCCGGCACCTTTAGGACCCAGGGGGTGATGGATTATCAGATATGCCGGAATATCTGGAAGGGGGGGGCTATGAGAGGTCTGGGGTGGGGGAAAGATGCCACCCCAGACCCCTGATAGCCCCCCCTTCCGGATAGTCTGGCTCTGCCCCAGGCGTCCCTGAATCAGCCGCTGGTCAGTTTCAGCAGTGGCTGAATCGGGAGGTCTGGGGCAGAGCAACTGGAGTGCTCCCGGCTTTGCACAAGTAGCCAATACAGCAGACTCCAAAGCCCCCCAAAGACCACAAAATCAGATAAGGATTAGGGATGTAAGCAACTAGTTGACTAGTTCCTCGACTAGTTGCTTCCCCCCCCCTGCCTCTAGCATAGGCAGCAAGAGGAGTGGGGAGGGAGGGGGTGTAAGAAGCCAGTGCTGAAGGGAGCCAGCTTAAAAGCTTGTTCCCCACAGCACTGTCTCTGCAGAGGGCAGGGGAGTAGTGGGGACCAGGCTTGAGCTGGGAATCAGCTGATTCCTGACTCTCAGCTGACTCCTGACTCATGCCCAGTCTCAGACGCTGCAACTCTGCTTTTTAAACATAGAAGAGGCCGCCAGCTCTTAATACATTTAAAAATCAGAAGCACAGCAGCGGAGGGAGGCAGGGAGGGTGAGAGAACGGGACGATGCCCACGGGCTCTTAATACATTTAAAGGACTAAAGCACAGCAGGGCGAACCTGACACTAGCCGGGAATCAGTTTTCCCGGCTTGTGCCAGATCCGCACCCACTGTGCACCAGCCCTTTAAATATATTAAGAGCCTGCGGGCTCTTAATGCATTTAAAAATCAGAAGTGGATGTGGGGGGCTGGGACCCAGCGTGAACCAGAACAGCTGATTCCCTGCTCATGTCCCTGCTGCACTCAGTCTTTTTTCATTTCAGGCTGGTGCACAGCTGGGGGGGACCTGATGCAAGCTGGGAATCAGCTGGCCCAGCTTGCTGTGCATCAGCCTTTTAAATACAGTAATTCCTCATTTAATACATGCCTGCTTACCACGTTTTCACGATAGCACGATTTTTTTTTTAGGAAACATTTTTTTTGATTACACGACTGTCCCCGGAATAACATGATTTCCCCAGCTGGCCCATTTCTGGTGACTGTGCAGGGCTTTCCCTGCAAAGTGGCGGAGGGTTTGCTGCTTGCCGTGCCGTTCCCTGGCGACCCTCTCTCCCCCCCCCTTGCAGGACGCAGTGCAAGTCGCGGCAGACCTGCCACAGGGGCATACTCCCAACCTAATCCCCCTCCCCTCTCCTTCCCTTCCCTTCCCCAGAGCCAAACACCTCCCCTCCCTGCTGTAACCCACTCTCCTTTCTCCCCCAACCTTATGTCCCAGTCCCAACAGACACCACCACTTGAAACGCAACCCCCACCTTTTCACTTAACACGATCATTTTCTGAAACATATCGATAGTGTTAAATGAGGAATTACGGTATATTAAGAGTTTGCCAGCTCTTAATACCTTTAAAAGGCATAGCC